TGAGAGCCCGTGAGGAAAGGCCGCGACCTCAAAAGGTTCGTGTGACGGCGAATGACGGAGGATGACGGACTCTAGATGGATGATCTCTGAGGGCCAGAGGCCAGGTTCGTCTGACCCCGCACCACGCAGCTCCCGCCCGCTCCCGCCCGCCCCTACCCGCTCCCGCGGCGCGACACGTGCCGAGGTGTTGTCGCGGTCGCTGCGGGCCACCGGGTCACCCGGTTCGCTGGTCGCCGCAGTTGGTCGCTTCGCAATTTCTCATATTTCAATTCGCGGCCCGGGGCTCTCATCCATCATGCGTCGCGTCAGCAGCACCGGCCGAGGCAGCAAAAAATATAATATAAAATTATTCCAACAACAAAAACAGAAAGGTAGACAAATCAGGTGCAGGCAGGCGGGCGCGCAGGGGGTCGCCGCGGGTCAAACGCCGTGTCGGCGGGTGGCGCAAGCGGCGGGTGCGTGCGTGCGTGCGCCGTGCGCCGTGCGCCGTGCGCCTCGGCTCGAGGAAGTGACCCAGCGCGGCCCGGCCGGGGCCCGGCCCCTCCTGGACGATGAGTCTCGGGACGGCGGGGCTGGCTGTTTGCGCCCGGTCAACAACAGTGGGGCCGACTCTCCACGCATGATTGGGCGGCGAGGCTCTGATACACCTGAGAGGCCTCTCTCCGTAGGGGCGGCGCCCGTCAGTGGGAAGCGAGCTGCTCTGCGGCTCGACTTGAGAGAATCGTCCGAATGACTGCGATAGCGCGACTTGGGTGGCCGGGCCGGGCGCAGCGCAGCGGAGGGCGCAGGGACCTTCACATTTTGTCTGAGGAGCCACGGTCGCGGGGCGCCCAGCTGCTGCCAAGCTGCTGTCCTGCAGCCCGCAGCCCGCGCCTCATCGGAAATGCCGCGAGTGCTGCATAATGGACCGCGCAGCCAAGGCGGACGGGCGGGACGGGCGGGCTGACCACCTCTGACCCGGGCCCTCCTGGGCAGCTGCACGCGTGAACATCTCAAAACTCGGGCTGTCCTTCCCTTCGGCGCGGAGGGCTGCTAGGCTCGGGGTTTGCGCCTGGCGCGGCCGCCGCCATGCCACGGCGCAGCCCATGCAGGCTCTGCCGACCGTTCTGCGGTTGGCCAACGCTGACCCGGCCGACTGGTCAGCACTGGTCACCGGGCCAAAGGTCAGCCCGGCCCAGTCTGTCTGCCCCGGGGCCCCCCGCCGGCCGGGGCCGGGCCGGAGGGCCGGGCGGCGGCGCTTCTCACGATCATATCAGGAATCGGGGGGCGCGGCAGCGCGGCACCGCCAGGGGAGCGCCACGGGGCGCCGGCGGCTGCCGACCGCGGCGTCGTTACCGACCGCGGCACACTCATATCGACGCGACTTCCATTCGCCGTGCTTCCCCGCGCCGATAATGACACGACAATCCATTCATGTAATGCCGGGCGGTCGGTTCCGACTTGGACCGGAGGCGGCGGCGCTCTCTATAGAAAGCTGCTGCAGGTGTTTCCGATCGGATGCAGGGCAGCGCGAGCGCGGCGCTAGGGAAGGCCCCGCCCTGCCCCGTCCAGTTAGCTCCCGAGGCGTGTTACGTCCGTACCGCAACAGATGGC